TAAGAGAATAGTGAATTTAAAAACTTAATATCCAAAGAAATGGCCCATTAATAAAATAATGTAGTTGAATTATGTTGCTTACCTCACACACAGACATAGGAATGTCTTCAAGCATTACAGCCTAGTTAAGGATTTTCAGGACACATAGTTTTATTGCAGAATATTGGAAGTGATCTCTTTTGAACAAAGCACAACTTTTTTTTTCTTACGTTGGTGTCATAATGTCAGTGTTGACTGCCTGGAGAACTCCACGCAATTTTCTTGGCAACATTTTTGGAAGTGACTTGACATTTCCTTTCTTTCTAGGGCTGAGAGAGAGTGGCTGGCTGAAGGTCACCCAGCTGGCTTTGTGCCTAAAATGGTATTAGAGCTCACTGTGTCCTGGTTTCTAGCCTGATGCCTTAACCACTACACCAAACTGGCTGGCTATATTAAGCTTACTGTTGAGTGAATCCAGAAATATTTTGTAAACATTGCAGAGAGGCAAACATGAAAAGCAGTGTAACTTTCAGAGATCTCTCATCAGGAGGGTTGAATAGATTGTTAAGATTTGTATGAATCAGAAGCACAATTGTGTGTAAGCATAGAACAAATATAAGCAAATGTGTGCAAAGTTATGAGTGTATGTAAACACACACACACACACACACACACACACACACACACACACACAGCCTATGAACTCTGGTGCACAGCTGGAAGACCTGAAAAAGCAGGTTAGGCACAGATTGCCATAGAGAAAATCTGTGTGGTCACTAACAGTTGACACCAACTTGATGACAAATAATCCAAGTCAAATGTATATAAGATTTAATTTAATTCAGATTGAATTGCTTTTTTAAAGATCTTTATGAAGTCGTACTGTTAATAAAAGGAAAGTGCGTGAGAAAAAATAATAGACATGCATGATTAATGAAATGAAAACAGTACTTTTGCCATACATTTAAGAGTTGTTGTATGTCTCTGTATATAATATATATGAAGGTTATCCAAAACAAATGATGTAAGGAACAATAGAGGCAATTTATACTGTTCAGCGTTTAATACCTGATTTCTGACATTGTTGATATTTTAAAGTATAGTTTCCCTTGTATTTCCAAGTGTGGTCTGGGCAAATAAACCCTTGCTCCCCAAACTGTTTAATTTCAACAGGTTAAAATCAGTGGTGGGTTCCTACCGGTTCGGACCGGTTTGGCCAAACCAGTAGTGGTTTGGTGGCCTGGGTCGCTGGAACTGGCAGCAACCCAGGCCTGCCATGCTCCTGAACTGCCATAGCCACCACCATCTTGTTTTTTGCTTCTGCGCATGCGCAAAACAATTTTTATAGTACTGTGCATGTGTGCGCTGCGTGCATCTTGCATGCGCACAGCATGCCCATGAGCAAACTGGCAGTAGTGACTGCCGGAATCCACCCCTGGTTAAATTGCTATGCAATGTAGGTTCAGCTAAACGAGTGATGGAAGAATCATTTGTTGGATTGAGTTTTAGTCAATCCACTTTAGCCATGAAAGCCAGCTGGGGCCAGTCATTCTCTCTCAGCTCAAACCACCTCACAGGGTTGTTGTTGTGAGGAAAATGGAGGAGCGGTTTTTAGGTATGTCTACCAGCCTGAGTTATTTATAAAATAATAAAGGTGGGATACAAAGAATCTAATAAATATATTATTTTTAAGTGGTAAAATAGGTGCCTTATTGGCAGGAATCTCACCTTAAAAATATCCAATTTGGCTCACCTGGTTGCCTCATCCATTTTGGGAAGTATGATGGTTGTCATGCTTCACAAAGCCCAACACAATGCTTGGAGTTGCATGCTGCTAGTTAAATCCAAATCTTCTCCAGTCTTACACTACCGTAGTAGATGTGAGCATTGACTTGGGGTAGGAAGGTTGAACTGACCAGAGCAACTGAATGAGGTTATTCTACACTTTGCCTCAGTCTACATTTTGTCCCTCGATTTAGTTGACAGAGCAGACTTATCATTTGATACTTCATAAATACTAATTTTCCCAGAATAAATTCAGTGAACTTCAACTGACACCTCTTGAAGAGACTTATTTAGATGTTTAAATGTGAATTAGAGTGTCAGTTTTCTCCTACTTTGTTTCTATAATAGCATCAATACTGTTTTATATGCTCAGATTAGCCCAAGGGAAGAAAATGTCAGGTTTGGTTTTGCTAATCCTTAAGAGTCCATGCTATCTACTCCTGCGTGATAACTGGCACTCTTAACTTTTGTCATGTTTGTTTATCTATGTGGAGTAATGGCTACTAAACTTCCATGCCTCCGTTAATAAAAACAATCTAGCATAATTGCTTTTGAACATGTCTGCTATGCCCCATTCAAAGCAAAATACAAGATGTCATAAGCTTAACTAGCTTGGGTTGGTTTAGACATTCTATAATTAGCTACATGAATTTAGCCACATTTATGCCAAAGTAAACCATCTTTAAATAGGGTTCTTCTCTAGTAATTGGGTTAAGTGGACATGTTTGTGAGGCTACTTTTAAATACATATTTATATGCGTAGATTTATTGGGCTTGTTTCCTAGGAATGACTTGTTGGTTGTTCAAGATTGTGTCACTTCTCACTTTCCCTTCTAATCTACAATCTAGAGCAGTGGTGTCAAATTGGCAGTATCACATCAACATATGACGTATTGTGACTTTTCCCCCCTTTGTTAAACCAGGGGTGGGTGTGGCCAGCACATGACGCATCCAGCCCACGGGGCGTGAGTTTCTGGTAGTTTTCAATGAAGGCAAACCAGATCAGTACTGTTTAACCAAGTGAAAGAAAAGCGAACACATAAATCTTTAGGCACAAAGTTTATTTCCTGTTTATTTTATGGATGATGGGTGAAGCCAAAATGAATATTTCAATTAGGGATGCAAAATAATTTTGCTGTGGGTTACACTGAATTTGTGGGTTCTGGAGAATTTGTGTGTTCTGCTTCTGCCAGACTTCATAATACCAGCGTGTGTTTTTCAGCAAAAATAAGCAGGAAACCTGTATATGAAAAGAAGGTACAGTATATTATGGAAAGTAGTATACAAATAGTATTAAGTAATTAAAAATGACACTGAAGAAATGTGTATAGAAGAAGCCTGTACTAGAAAATTGCCAAAGAACAAAAACAAGGTAAATTATTTTGTCCAAAAATTACTTAAATCAGAGAGAAAAATATTGTTAGGAAATATTGTGAATGTAAGTAACAATTTTTTTTTTTTGTGGATTTTTACAATGGAGTTCTGCCATATTAACACAAATGGCAAAGTAAATGGAATTTTTAGTGTTCTCCTTAGTTAGAACATCGAACATAAAACATAGAATCGTAGATGTGGAAGGACCTCAGAGCAAAGGTGGGTTGCTCCTGGATCGGCAAACTGGTAGTAGCAGTGGCGGGAGGCTTTGCCCAGGCGCGCAAGCACAAGCAAACCAAATTTGAACCCCACCTCTGTCTCAGAGGTCTTCTAGTCCATCCCCTTGCTCAAGGCAGGAGACCTTATATTATCCTGGTCATATGTTTGTCAGTCTTTTTTTGAAAACCTCCAGTGATGGATGTGGTTGAGTAAGATCTAAGTAAGAATAATAATCTCCTGAAGGAGTATGTTCTTAATTCCTTCTTGAACAAAGCAGTCTAATTCTTTTTATCCGTTTATTATCAATGTAACAAACTATTAATAAATATAATCAATAAAACTGCAAACGTAATACATTTGTGCCTGCTACAGTAACTCTTTAATCTGAATTTTTGTCGCACTGGGGATGAGGACAAGTGATACCATGTCAGTTTTGAATTCCAAATTTGCAACTGACCCAAATTACATAATATGGATCATTTGCTTGACAGTGTTCTTAACAATGAGCAATATTTTCTGCTTTTAGTTTTTCTTGTTTGGTGTAAATTAGTTCCTCACAGTGGCACGGCAATAATCATGTTCATTTTAACAGAAGAAAGTGATAATTGAAATCCCTTGGAGTCAAAAAGGAAATCTGGCTTAGGAACACTTAATTCATAACATTTCTGAACATATTTTAGAGTGCTCTTATCTATCAGAAAGGCATTGCCAAATATAGCACTATCTGGAAAGATAATTTTATTTCTGGTTCTACCTGATTTAGGAAAACACTGCAATATTTGTCTTCCCTGAAGTAATCTTTCAATCCATTTTTCCAACACTGCCATTCAGAAGGCCTACCGCTTCAGATATTAGTAGAGATAATGCCCAAATATGTTTATGTAGTATATTCTGTAAATTTAGCCCACCGTCTATCTGAAATCTCAGTGGGAGTATCTGAGTACCTGAGTTTAAATGTTTTTCAAATAAACAAGATGAATTATTGAAAATACTCTGCTCCAGTCTTTATGTATGTCCTTGTTTGTGTTTTGAACCAATACAGAAATATCAAAAGAAAATTCTTGACTAATAATAGATATTCAGCTATATCATAGATTTGTCCCAATCCTTCAGAGACTCATAATTCAAATTCTAAAAGTGGTTTATTTAAATGTCACAGACTTTTGCAAGGCTGTAATTGACAAGAACTTAAGGCATATATTTATGCCATTTGTTATCATGTTCGTTTTCTATACGTTGTGTGTGGTATAAGCACAACATAATAGTTTGGCGATTGCAGAGCTACCAACAGGCAATGGGTGTGGGTGAACAATTGTCATAAGTAAAGTGCACCTAAACATCCTGCCTGCTTGTGGAAAGGTCACCAGAGGAAATAAGGAGAATATGATGTAATGTTTATGTAAGGCCTGTTCCTTGAAATATTAGAAGAGCTGATTTCAAGTGATAGTCTGTGACCTAAAAAGTGAAATATAATTCTGATAATAGGGATTATTTAAGGCTTTTAAAGGTGCCGTTGAACTTTACAGAAATTCAGATTGGATAGATAGATAGATAGATAGATAGATAGATAGATAGATAGACAGACAGACAGACAGACAGACGTGTGTGTGTGTGTGTGTGTAATATGTACTAAAATACAGAAGAAAGCAAAAATAATATTTAATTTTGTAATCATAACTTTTAATAGAGTAGAAATACTATAATAGAGGTATTCCTTGACTTACTTTATGGTGATTAGCAACTGTTTGAAGTTATGAAGGAGCAAAAAAAATTCACATTCCGACAGCCAACCTACCACCCTGCAGCCACCCCAAAGTCACATCGTATTTTGAGGATGCTGGGCAACCAGCCCATATTTATGGCTGTTTGCAATGTCCCACTGTCCCATAACCATTATATATGATTTTTTTTTGCATGTATTTCTAGTTTTTGCAGACAATGGGTTCACTTGTCAACCATGGCATTTGTTTAATGACAGCAGATTCCCTTAATGATTGCTGCAAAAAGATGTCATAAAATCAGGTCAGTCAGAGGATAACCTATTTAATGACTGGCATCTCTTATGACCGCTATGCCAACCTTGCTTCCGGTCATAATTCAAGGGTTACCTGTAGTGATAAAGTAGGGGAAGAAAACAGTTTTAGAACAAATAGTGATGATGGCATAGAAATCAGGAATCCGTCATAAGTGTTTCCACTCATAATTCTAATCAAGATTTTCTAAAACATGATCTGGCTTGTACATAAGCCATAATGGATGATATCATACATGGTGTTAAGCTGAAAATACACAAACTGCTTTAAAGGCACTGTTTGCTTTAAAAAAAGATGGTACTCCACTTGATGGAGTACCTAGTTATATTAGGAGTATCTATTTTAATTCAGTTCATATACCTAGTATTTTCACCTTTTAATAATGCTTCAACGTTCATTTTGAATAATCTTTCTTAACCTGATCCAAAATTGAAAGGCACCAGGTTGCAGAAGATCACCATAAGATAATAGATTCTATTACATTTCAAGCAGAATTCTCACCATCAGATTTAAAGAAAATGTTTCTGTTCTATAAACATTCCAAATTTATGCTGGGCCAAAAGAAAGAAGTAGTTTTAAATTTGCAGCAGTTAGCTTTTTCTGTCACTTTCCTTTCCAAAACATGAAGTAATTGGAAAATTATGTGATTTTACTGTAGATTATGTTACATGTTTCTTTCAAATGGTATTATGAGAGAAAGGACAATTGTTAAAAATTTAACCGTGTATTATTTCAGATTCGCTCAAAGACCATTTTACACATATTCCAATAATCGCTTTAAATTAGGGAACTTGTTTCAAACAGATTCTTAGATGGTGAACTCCATCACCTTAGATGGGTTTTCACGCAAAAAAAATGCTTTCTGCAAAGAATGGGTTGCTCTGATATTGGAAAGGATTCAAGCAAGAAAATTTTGCATGCTTGTCATTGAGAAAAAACATGGAGAATCAAGTTTGTCAAGCATGGAATTTTTTTTAAAAAAATGTGTTCTGTATGTAGGTTCACATAATTTGATCTGAAATAGAAAAATTGTGTTCAACTGTCAGAATTTAATTTTGTTAAATAAATGAAAAGTCATTCAATTTTGGGATACAGAGGATGTTCTCACTTTGCAGGGGCAGTAATTTTTAAATTATCTCTTTATTTCCAGATGAAAGAAGTAGAAGAATGTATAGAAGAGATGTTAATAAGGCTGGATGAGTTCTGTGGTATGACTGATATGGTATGTTTAGCTTCTGAAGACCTTGGAGAATCTAAATGCTTCCTCTTATGTTATCCCCTCTGGAGGCCATCTTGAGAGTGATTTAGAAACAGCAGCTCAGCTGCAGTGAGCTGTGTGGGAAGAGGGAGCTACAGGACTTTCTCTCTTCTCTCTCACACACTCCAGCAAGCGCGCACACTCACATACACATGCTCACATTCTTCCTGAGGCAGCCATCTTGATAACAACCTTCTCTGAAATGGTTTTTATTACTGAGAACAGTGGTGGTTAAGCCACAAGGTGGCACCATGGTGCACAAATACTTACGGGCCTAGACAAGTGCTCTTGTAAATTTTATGTGCACCAATCTTACCTGCATGCATAGACACAATAAGAAGCTCTGCTCACAGTTGTCTCCTTGAATACCACATGAAAGATTCCCTGGGTTAGTTCTAGAGAGAAATTTTACGCACACTGCCCAAGATTTCCCCTCTATGTTTCAGTGGAGAAGATAACCTAATGCCAATCATGTTGATAGGTGTCCAAAGGTCATCTTGGAAATTGACTGTGGACTTTTTACTTGAGGACCCAAAAAAAAAAAAAATTCCCAAGAGGCCCAGTGATCTTGTGTCATGAAAATTGAGCATAGTACTTTGCAACTGGTGATTTTAAATACAGTCCTGTTCGTATCATCCGTGCAAA